TGAATCAAATTCTTTCCACTACACAAATGTGAAAAATGTATGACATGGATTTGTTTGACACACTGTGTCAAGGACTCTTTGTAACATCTACAAGCCAGTCTTTCTTCACTTTTACAGTCTGGCATAAAAGTGTGACCCAACGTGTTGACATTCTGAGCCATGACTAATTTGGTCTGTGATTTATGCTCCACTGATCTTCTTCTACACAGATATTAATGAACATCAACTGAGAAAATGCTGGGAGTACATGACCCACTAGTATGGTTCTTTGCTGTACTGTCAATGCCAACCATGCAAAAGTGTAATTCAGTGCCACATTAAATGGGGTATGTATGTGTAGTCATGCCACTGAATATCTACTCCGAGCTGAAGTGCACCCTCAACTAGGTTCTTGAATGCATTTGGCGTGCACATGAAGACCAAACATTCCAGACTAAATTCACTGTGCGTACTCAGTGTGGTCCATGTCAAAGGTGCATCAACTTGCACACAGTGATGCGTATGCAGTGAATGCGTACCAAAGGACCATCAATTTCATTTCAAAACACACCCTCTTTTGTTCCTGCTTGGAGCAGATACCAAAATCAATGATACATTATCAACATCCTCCAAACATACCATGGAGATTTACTCACATGTTGTGTACCATGTGTTGTTTAATAAAAAAAATGCATTTGATCATATTATCTCTTGTCAAGAAAAAGGATAATCTAAGAATTACAACTGCCAAAGTATCCACACATACCTTAAATGCTTAATTTTTTGGAGGATCAGACATTGAGATTCACAATGTATTCCAAGGACAAAGGGGGTTATCTGTTGAATTCCAAGCACTTGAACAATCTCGTTACCCTTCCCAACACAGGTCAACTGCTGCAGGTGTTTGATGGTAGACTACAACTCAACGTCTGCAGAAATAAAAGAATTCCAGTGATATGTGACCTGGTACATCGTAATCAGGAATAAGTCACTGAGGCCGTTTTATGCAATGGCTGAGTAAAGTGGGAATGCGGGTAATGTTGAAAAATCGATGTGGTGGTTTTGTATATTTTTGAAGTAAATACTAAGAAAGATTACCATCCACACACTTGTAATGTGTACCATTTGTAAGTTCATGAAATTCTCTTTCTGACAATGTACGGTCAGAAAGTCAATTTGTGACTTATTCC